CCCCCCTACCCCACTCTATGATTAAGAAGGCAAATTTTAGTTTCGACGAAAGGCAGTGAAAAAAATACACTAGTAAGCAAATTCATTTGGGGCTTACTTTGAATAAACTGGAATAACTTTCAAAGACCGTTTTTGAAAGCGTCGTATCCTCATCCCATGAAGCAAAAAGTAGATCCTTTTCAATCGATTTAACAATGTCATAAAAACCAACATCACTTTTCAGAGTTTTGAGCACGCTAGGATTCTCGAAACAACGGTACAAGCACACCAGAAGAATACCTTTGAGTCTACCCGGATAGGAAAAATCCTCCGCTAGGTTTTGCTTCAACTCTTCACATTTTTTCATCAGAAGCACTAATCCCTCGTAGAATTCTAAGCTGAATATGTCACAAGAAGGAAAATGCAGCAACGGACCTAGAAAAAGACCCTCATGCGCCCTGCAAACACTTGATTTAGTTGTTAATTCTGGATCATTGAGAAGTTGATCCGCAAGGACAAGCTGTAACTCTTCGAGATGAATAGCGACATCGCTATTCAACATAGGATGCCGGTAGACCCGCATTAGAAGATAGGCAAAAGATAAACGACCGTTAGAGGCTTTAAGATTCTCGCACTCCAACTTAGCGAGGTGATAAATTCTCTCGAAGGCTCGACCTTGTTCAAAAATATCAAAAGAGTGGATGCTAGAGTAAAGGCAGTAAAAGGCGTCAAGAACCTGCACTTGTTCACCAATAACTTCAGGAGAAACAATAATTATATCATTGAGCCATTCCAAGTATTTCTTCTTATCCTCTTCTGTTAGAAGGACACAAAATTTGGCGAAGAGTAACCAGTAATAGCCAAACGCCCGATCAAAGACTTTCCGATAGAGACTTTCAGAAGCAACTTTCCACAGACGTTCAATGAAATCTGGTGGCATTTCGGATACAAAATGGGGTAATTTCGAGAAATCCTCAACACAAGTAGTGATAGAGGAAAGAATGCTGCAGCTGCCGTTATTGTTCTCGGTATTTCTATCAAACTTCATCACTAAGTCAAACCAAAGTCTTGCCAAGTGTTTATGCACAGAGCAATTTTGGAACATTTTACAAGATATAAGGGCTCTCAAATCTGCACCAAAAGTGGCAGTTGGTGGGTCAAAGAAGTCCGGCGTTATCTCTATGTTGTAAGGTGCGACGGTCATCAGAAGTAAAGGAAAACGTCTACTATTTCGGAGTTCTTCACGATTGCTACGAAAGCGCTCTAGGAGCACTTCCGACAATTTTGTAAGAAACTTATAGAGAGTTCGATCATCAGAAGCTTTAGACGTTCGAATAATTTCTGTCGAGAGATCTTGTACAAAATCTAAAGCGTTTTCACTTGGATGTTCAAGTAAAGTGATATACTCTTCGAATGAATCATCATTTTCAATGGCTGCACGCAAAAGTAAAATGAATAGGTAAATCGTTGATCGGATGGAATGAATATTTACTGACTGCTCACACATTTTCTTGAGCTTCAATAAACAAGTATTGTTTTCGTCTAAGTATATGTCGAAGGAAAAATCTGATGTTAAATTCACTTCATAAAACTTTTGCAGTGCAGATATAATTTGAACGTTATCAGAAAGAATCAATTTTTGCAAGATGGATTTAAGACAATCAAAATCCTCCTTAGAGCAATGATTTTTCATTTGCCATAGAACTGCAAACTTGATTTTGAGTTTTCCTATGGAAATATCATCATTTCCTAAAGGTTGGTCAAAATTATCCATAAAGATTTTAAATTCCTTGCAATAAAAATCATCCCAGAATTGCTTGTGACTTTGGTCTTGACAGTAAAGAGCAGTTTCTAGTCTGTTCAATAGTGTGTCATCAAGATGTTTTGCTACAACTCCATTTTCCATACAAATAAAATCGATCAGCTCACACAAACCAGACATCGGAAAGAACCTGAAGGCCAAGGATTAACCTTGCCTCAGTAAAATCCATTGTGACCAATAGAATGAGATTATTTTAGATATTATCTTCAAACCTATTACAATAGCACAATAATGTTGTGCGTTCTAAATTTAGTTTATTCCATTTAAAATTTTTTTAACTCGTGCACTAATTATTATCAAAAGTCTTCGTTTATTTAAAATTGAATTAGTTTTCCTTGGTGACCACAGGTAGTTCACAATTTTTCTTGGGTATCCTTGATTTAAAACTTGTACGATCAAAAGAAATTACGAGGAATAACCCAGAGTAGAAGCAATGGGTTAAGGCGCAACTGCAATTACTATATAATCACACCAATTCAACGATCACAAGAAAGTTCATATTCGAGTATAGGACGAATTGACATCACTGGTGGAAATGCCGTTTATTAGGTAATACAAGGTAAGCACGTAAAAGTGAGTTATTTCATTATATTTGAAGATAGAAAGCAAGTAAAACGATAAAATTCGCACTAATCATATCCAGATAATAAAGCGTATTAACATACGAGCACATGTTGATTTTATTAATTTATCTAAACTCAAAAAATGGTAATATAATATTCACTAATCACTCTATCTATCTATTTCTATCCATTTAACTCTTGTGAGTATGTAAAGAGTAAAACATTTGATTGATCTGAAATAGGTCATTTGTCTTTTCTTGATAATTATGTGATCATCATAACATTTCAGGAGTTTGTGCATTTCTTTTCAGCCCCTATCTCAAAGTGCTCAGATGCCACATCTTAGATCTACAAGTACTCTAAACTCAAATGGAAAAAGATATAATTTTTAAACTAAATAAGAGTTTCGAATGATTAAATAATAATAAATAACTTCAATCTAAAATAGCTAAATTATATATTTAAGAGCACTTTAAACCGAATTACATGCGATGTGATACTTTTTAGTAATTAGTTAATGTAAACGGATTTTTGAGGCATGTGCGGTTGAACACAGACTACTAAACCCAAACATTACATTGACAATCCTATTCTATTTCAATATTTTTATGCCTTAACTAAAGTAATCTCTATGAAAATTAACATATATGATATCTCTCAGATTAGGTAATAAAATTTGCTCTTAAAAATGAATATTTGAACGGATCAGAAAAAAATAAATACATTAATACTCTGTTAATCAAATAATTCTGCCTAAATCGATTTGAGTTCGAAAGACGATAATAAATCATTGATTTATCGGGAATTATCATTTCTTAAAATTAAGTTGGCTGCCGTTTTCCAATTTATGTTTTACTTTAAATGGAAATAAAGAAAGACAGTTAATAATCGATGAGTGACCAAAATGAAGCTTCGGTCTATAGACATTTAGAAATCCTATGCTTTATTAAGTAATTTGTGTTTTGCGGTTCATATTTATGGACTATACAAAATAAAAGCTTCTATTTAAATACTTTAATATTGTAAAAGCTAATAAATTGGCCATTATTTCATGATTAATATTAAAATTTGGTAGATTATTGCTCTTTGTTTGTGTTGGTATATGTTACTAAGCGCATTACTTGATTAATTTATATTTTATATCACTTTTTATTTGAGGAGGAAATGTAGTTTTGCCTCCAAGTATTTATCCATTGTGTTACATCCATTTGAATGAGTAAATTTCCATCATCCGATAGAAGCCCTATTAAGGGAAAGAACTCTGGGCCTCCTGATGTTTATCCACAAAAACCAAATCAACTAGAAGATGCCTTAACGGAACATCTGGTTAAAGATGGCTACAAGTATCATCGACCCGTCAGTGATGAGTATAAATTGGGGAGATCTTTTGTTGAGCCTTCGGACCTGGAAACAGCGTGGGATTTGTTTTGCAATACGCTTGTCGTTAAGGACCGATTGGCTCCTGCTTACGAACCGGACCATTTTCATGTTCCCGTTAGAATCCCCCCAGTAAATGATTCCATCTGGAAGCAGATATCGGTATGGCTTAGTGATCTTTCCGGTTCCAATTGCAATCGTAGAAGCACAATATTTCTTACTAACAAAGATCGAATTTTGAGTGATTTGGTTACCAATCGTTTCCCTCTCTCGCATGCATTGAGATTAATTAACAGACTTATAGTTTACTCTACAGCACCCTTGGAGAATCTAAAGAAAAAGCAAAAACTCGACCCTACTATTGAATGGACTGAAGAAATTCTTCGTATGCTTGATAAGCTTTTTGATGGTGATCTCTCAAACTCTTTTATGAATAAATATGAAAGCATGTGCAAGAATTGGGATTATTTGTTTGGTCTCCTAACCGCCCTCTATGACAATGATCTTATTGAACATTGGGACGTTCTTAAATCACTCGCTTCCAAACTTGAGCATATGTATCAGCATGCCTTACGGTACATTCCTCAAGACGCTTCGCTTTGCTCAACTGACCGTCCTCAACCAGGAAGATTCGACCCCTTTCGTAGCCTAAAGTTTGTTCTTCCTTACTTCCAACGCTTTTGCCAGCGGTTTACTGAAAGTGAGCTGATAACGCGCCGTGTAATATACTGGGCTTGCTCTGTTTTCTCCGAACAGTCTCGATCTTGCACTCTAAAGTCAAATGCATCGTCAACTTCAATATTCTGCAAACCTGAGGATTATGCGCATTTCTTTCTCTGTTCACATCATCGTCCTATCCTACTCGCAACTTCGAGTTTAATAATTGCTCTTACCCTTGAATGTCCCTCGGCAGCTGTGTGGAATAAAATTACTCCAGAGACTGGTTTCAGATATCTTGTTGGTTCACCCCTTGACCTCCTCCCGTGTTCCCTGGCTTGTCTTCCAATCACTCCCGGTCCTGAAGCTGCTAATCTACGAAGCTGCCTCTTGGAAACCGAGACAGCTTTGTTGGAACGCAGTAGACTTGCTGAAGCTGGTTGGTGTCTTTTCCCGTCTCGGGCAATTGCTTCTAGTGAATGTACAGACGAAACAAATGTAGGTTTTTTTTCATTGTATTTTCTTGCTTATCAAATTTGAGCATAATATCTCGCCTATTCCTCTAATATTTCATACAGTGTGGTTTATATCTCTAGTACATATGTGTATTTCTAAAAAAACTTTTTTTAAGAATTGTTTTCTGGTTATTGCCCAGTTTTATTTCTGTCTTACCCTTAGTTTTAATATGGTTAACCCTAGGTGTCTTGTGAATGCTGATTTCACATTTTTAGGTACCTCCCTTCATTCTCTTAATGTTTGGTTTTATAAATAATAATTTTATTAACCTACGGATCTCATGACCCAATAATCTATTGGGTGCTCTCTCAAGTTGTTATGCGTTTTGCATCATCAATTTCATTATTGGCTGTTTCGTTTTAAATTTTTAGTTTATTGAATATTAATTAATCTTGAAGGTCATAAACACCTTGTAAACTCTATGTTCAATGGAAGTTTAGTGATTGCATTTTGTGTATTATTGTTTGTAGGCGGAAATGTTTGTTCGGGTCTTAAACGAGCTTGACTTGCAAGACTTCAACGTTTGCCCAGAGGTCGATATGATCACTAGTCTCTTTCGAAGGTTCTTTCCTCAGGAGCTCCTTGATTCCCCACACTCATTAACCACGCTTGTCACTTTCCTCTGCAAATGGGCGGTCTCTCCCACCCGAACAGGTCTTCATCGTTCCATTATTGTAGCCTGTCTCCTGGACCATCTTCACTCAAAAGTCCCTCATTTCACTTTCCAAACTTGTCTTCTCACATTCCTCGATATTCATGCGCCTCCTAGCCCCAATGCTGATCTATCGGGATTTCGTTCTCTTGTCTGCCTCTTTGCTGAACTCATTGATAGAGGTCTTTTTAATCATGATGTCTTTGTACGGACTTGTATCGCTCGAGGTGTATTCGACAGTTCATTTCACCCTCTTGCTAATGTAAACAATCCTTCTTTGACAGCTTCATCTGTTAACGCTCTCTTCTCCGCACCTTCTTTAAATAATAACTTCTCAGTCCAATCAGAGATCTCTGAAGACAATGATCGCTTTAGTGTTGACAATCCTGACTCTGTTCTTTCTGATCTCGGTGGCAATCCTACTTCAGCGGTACTTCCTCAGCGTAATTCCTGTGATCTCAATCGCCATCTTCAATACCTCATTAACTTTCCCCTACCTCAGGATGATTCCTACGCTCATGAGCAGAATCAGCGTGCTCAACTCCTTTATGGAAGTAGTGCTCGTGCTCACTCAAGGGCTCGTGAACTTCCTCGTAAAATTTCTCGGGATATTGTCAAACTTTTCACTAAAAGCGCCCACCGTCTTGATGTGGTTCATGGGGAGTTGGGAAAACGTAAAAAAAAGGATCGAGATCCGGGTTCGACTCCAAACGGTGGAACAGTTGGTGGAGGAGGTCAGCGTGGAGGTGCTTCGAAGGAATCTCGCTCATTAGACGAACTTCTTGATGGGATTTCATCACGATTTCGGTCGCTCAATTACTACGATATGGAGTGTGTTATATCCAAGAGCATTCCTGCTTACCTTCGCTCTTTGAATGGGAGTTCCACTACGAGTTATATTGATACAGAGTCGTCTCCTTCTACTCGGGAGCATATCTACTTCCCCGCCCTCAAGAGTGTCTTCTTATTTTTTGAGTTGGTGGAGAATTCTCTCAACATCATTTGCCTCCTTGAAACAGCGGTGGATACCATTGACTCCCTCCTTGTTTCCTCTCAATCCATTTCCTATCCGTGTATGGCTTCCTACCTTTCTCAGGTCTGGATTCGTGTTATTGGAATTCTCCGAGCGCATCAGGCTGTTTTGATGACGATGCCTAACCTACAACAACGGATTTTCAATTGCCTTATTGAACAGTTGCGCAACAAGACACCCGAGAAGGCACAAATTAAACGGTGTATAATTGAGTACCTGAGGAACCTTTGTCACTCATCAGCCTATATAAGTCGGTTGGCTTGGCCTACCCTCGAGAACCAACTTCAGCTCTCTTTGTCTTCAGGTCGCCTCCCCTCTGATAAATGCAAACAATTGGTTTGCAACGCTCTGAGGAATCTCATGATTTGCGATCAAGATGGTAGTGCTAGCTTTGTTGAATCTGTTTTGGATTACTCTGCTCAATGTCCAGAACTGGCTATGGAGTGGCTTCCTGCAATTGCAGCGGTTGTTAATCCTACGGCTCATGGTGGGGGACTCAGTTTGAGTGGTATCTCTCTCACGTCTCCAAGTCTCTCTCAGAATTCGAATTCCGATTTTCTCAGTATTGGTCTGATAGATGATTTAACAACTTGGGATAACCTCACTCTCCTCGTCGGCAACTTGTTTGCAAGTCACTGTATCGACTCAGATAAGCTTCTTGATACTCTCATCAATCCATGTTTGGCTCTTGGCCTAGACCAGAGTGCTTCTCCAATTGATTCACTTTCAGAGACTACTGTTAGAGTAGCTTGTCATATGTTACATCGATTCTTCACTCTAGATACCATGAAACTCACTACCTTTGAAGCCTGTTCGCCGTCACTGAGGATTCCTGAATCTGCGATACTTTACAGTGTCATTCGACGAATTAATTATGCCCCCTTCATCGACACCTTAAAGATGCTGATGATTCTCACCAACAAAGGCAAATCTATGGAATTAATCGAGGATGCAGGTGAAGATGGTAGTGTTGCGGGTTCTGACGACAACTCATCCGATAATGACCGGGATTCTGAACGAGAAACCGATGATGGCCATGGGGACAGCTCAATTGATATGACCGATGGATATGATTTAACTGATGGTCCCACTAAGAATAAACGCAAGAGACGGAGGGTTTACCTTGGTCCTGCAAAAAACAAACGTCGTAAGGGGCCAAACTCATCCCAACGAGTTGGTTCAAGTGTAAGCTTGCTTAATTCTCGAAGGAGGAGTCGTCTAGCAAGTAATCTCCATCCTTGTACCTATGCCTTTCTTACCACCGGTCAACTACCTAGTGATGCTGAAGTGAAAGAAATGCCCTTGCGAGACTTCGCTCATCTTGTTCTCCGGGAAATTTGTGTCACTCCATGGGTAAGGGAGCACTTTTATCGAATATCGGCTCATTTATTGCAAGAAAATGTCCTAATCGACAAGATGATATCAAGTAATCAGACCCGTTTCCTTCTCCATATCATCTACCATCCACACGATGTGAAGTGGTTTGATTTAGCTGCTTGTGCAGATAATATCGCTGACGCTATTCTTCAGCTAATCTCTGGAGTTAACATTTGGTCGCTTCATTCCACTCGCATGGAGTTGAATTTGTTATGCAAGCAGATTTCTTTTACCTCTTCTAAGGAAGCGCTTGACCAAGTTGCCAATCGTATTGTTAATGGTTTTAATGAACACGCCCTAACGTATCTCAAATCAGCGTCTTCTGCTTCTAGTTTTGGTGAACAGTTACCTGAAGCGTTACCTGATATCGAAGTGCCTGAAAGTGATAACACTTGGCTTCTGCCTTCCCTAGTTGCTAATTTGCCAAATGAGTTGAAAACGCACATTGTGACCAAAACTTGTGATGTAAGTCCCCTGATATTTGATTGTTCATGAGTAATGGTTTATGCATTATCTAATCTTTTACTCTTCGCCCTAGATTTTGAAGGGAATAAAGTTTTTCTGGCGGCATAAGAACGCCGAAGATCAGGAACGGACAGTAATGCTGCACTCAATTCTTCTTGCACATCCGGTCTTCTCATCTATTCTGCATGTTTGTATGGAGACTGTAGACCCTTTAGATAGGCTCTATGAGCAATTGGAGTATTTTGTTTTTGGTGTAAAGGAGACGCGAGATAGAATGCCGGAGAATTTGCGAACGAGGCACATTCTGCAGGAATGTCTAGCTCTACGACTTTCCTTGCTTGGTATTTGCCTTTCCTCAGCGAATCTCAGTACAGATAGACTAATCGGCGGTGCTCTTATTCTAGCTCAACTTATTGGATATGGTATCACGGAGCCACATTCTAATCAAACACTCTTCTACGCCTGTCTCGATATGCTCCATACTCTATTACACAATTTTGCAGCTCAGGTCGGTCCAGATAACCAACAGTACCAAAATCTAGCCAAAAAAGTTCGCAAAAAGCTTGCTGAGCGCCATTTCACAGAGGGTATTGAATACATCCGTCCATTGCTTTTTATTGGTCGAACTGGGTACCCCTTCGTTGCGGTGACTCCCCTTGCGGGTACTGCAGGTGCTGGAAATCGAGGAGATAGTGTTGGAGTCACAAGTAAGCCAGGAAGTTCATCGAAACTCGCCTCGTTTAAGTCTAGTGGGAAGTCTGGTGGCATGAACTCGTCTCGTGTAACTAACAGCCAGGGAGGTAATGGGCCGATATCTTCTTCAGGACCTGGAGGTAATAATAATGGGACTCCCATGTCAGGTGGTGGAGGAGTCAAGGCCTTCACCCGAAAGCGTGGATATGCTTTCAAGAGTCGAGATCGCTTTGCTCCCTGGGAGATTTATGATGTTAATCGCCGACCGGCTTTCTTAGCCATGTGTGGTGCAGTTCAGGTGCCCTCAGCTCCGTCGAGATACGAAGATCAAGCAAATATCCTCCTTAGCCATGAACACCCGATTAATCATCGGCGATCGGATGATTTTTATCACACATCTCTTTTTCCAGAGGTGGAGGTGCCTGTGTCTTTAGCAAATCAAACTGTAGCGACACCGTCTCCTTCCAATTCATCTTCCTCAATCGATTCCGCGTCAAAGCAGTTCAGCCTTGGACCAGTTCCTCCTGGTAAACGTCACGCTGGTGGTGGGCCAGATGCCGGTGGACCAACTTTGTTGGCGGCTCCGAGAAGAATGCAAACCCAACAGAATCAACAGCACCCACCACCAGCAGGCGGCCGTATATCAAAACCGGAGGATATGCTTTACGCTTGTCAACAACAGCAGCAGCAAATGCGAATGCAGGCACCAAGTCAACAGCCTCCAACTAAGAGGAAAAGAAATCGTGCCCAGTTGCAACAGGATGAGATGCAACTTTTCGCACAAATGTATCCCCCACAGACACAGTCGTCTTCTGCAATGGCAGCAGCTCAAGCTCCAAATTCTGCGGCAGCTGTGAGCGTTACTACACCGCAAGGTAAACGTAAGCGTATTGCTGGAGGTGGTGTGGTGGGGGTGAATTCGGGTCAAGTGGCAAGTACCATGCGAAGGGGTTATGAAAATGGCCCTCTGCCTGCTACTCCTTCCTCTCAACAAACGTGGAGTGGTGGTAGAGTTCCTCCTGTTTCTTCTGGTGGTGGTAGCGGTGGTAGAATGTTGCCAAATCAGAGGCAGAACTTGTCTGAATTTGTACAGAACAGAACCAAAGCACAACAGCAAGTAGCTCAAGCAAAGGCCGCTCAAATGGCTGCGGCTTATGCCGGAGGAGGTGGCAGCGGTGGTGGTGGAGGAGGAGGTATTTCAAACATAGAGGAACACTACTCTCAACCTCAGGCGTCACAATCATCCCAACAGACCGATTCCAGGTATATTCTTCCTTCGCCTTAATCAATTCCGTATTTTAAATTAACCGTGTTATTTTGAGTGATTTTTAAGATGCCATACCTTTGCTCCTATTTTATATCGGCCATGATCTTACTGTCATTCAAGTCATGTTACCTTCGTATATTTAAGTAGAATAGACCCACAGCGGCTCCCTTTTCATCTGAACAAAAGGGCCTTTAAGCAAAAATACTTCATAGACACTGTAGGAACACATTGACCTCTTCCACGTTCCTCTTTAGATATGGTAAATACCATTTCTGAGGCTTGTAAGTGATATACTATTTGTACTATTTTGGTCATTTGTCAGCTAAGTCGACAGCCACGAGTGCTAAAACTCATTTGTTCACAACAATTTTTGGATGCCATGCCCAACCATTTTGGCCAGTAGTGGAAAGGGAAGATATCTGGCCTTCTCGTTACCGGGCTTCCAAAATACTTTTCCTCTGTATAAAATGCTTATTAAAAAATTAAAATTAGAAGCTTGGATAATTATGGACTCAAAATTCATCTATGAGCACTGAATGGTTAATTATTTTACATTGTAACAATTTTTTAGACATTTTTAATCTTAAAGAACCCTCGGGAGCCATTTCCCTAAACAAAATTAACCCTTTTTGTTATGTGGATATATGCATACTCAAAAGGTGGATTTTGAGTCGGTGTTTCAGGCTTTATTCAATTTTGACCTCGCAAATAATAGCTCGGAAATTTCCATTTGTTACCCCATTTAACTAATTAATGTAGGTCAGTTTTATTAAATATTGGCTACGTTAACTTATAAGTCTCTTGAACTTCGATAAAGGGAGTTCAATTCTGTTGATTCATCTTTTGAATTCATATTTTGAACGTTCTTTCTCAAAATCATAGGTACTCACCTGATTTTTAGGTCTTTAATAATCGTTTTAGTCATATAATACTTTATAAAAATAGTGTAACTGTTAGTTAACTCATGTTAGGGATGAACAAATAAATTTCGGAAACCGTCTTTTATCCAATAAGATTCGATATATTTAAAGATTCAACTGGTCTCCCGTTGCCTAACTATAACGTTTGAGCTCAAAATTCAATTCGTCCTTTCTTTACTGGTCTATCTAAAGCCATTTTGATCTGGCGTGACACTAAACAGTTGGAATTAGTAAGTGGGCCCATACTCCCTTCCCCTTTAAATCTGTCACTCCTGATAGTCGTAAATTAGTTAGTTAATGCTAGCTAACCTAGTTTGATTTGCTAATCTGAGTTTCTCAAGAACGTTTTAAAATCTGTCTTTCGGAATATTCCCTATATATTGCTTGCATGTCTTAAATTCATGACCCTTCCCTCTGTTTAATAGACTTTACCTCATTTATATGTAGCAAATTATGGTACTTCTGTTTTTAATATTTGTGTATATTCACTGGTGGACATGTATGTTGTGTGAGGTGTGTGTGTATATGGTTATGCTACTTCACATCACCATGGTATCTGCCACATGTGTCATATTCTATTCTCACCCCTACCCTTCCTATATTTGCGTTGGTCGTGTAAACAGCTGATTTGTTCCCAATTGGTACGAATTTGACACTTCATCATTATTTGCCTAGATTGGAAGTCCTAATTGTGGTGAACTCAAGTCAATGTCGCTACTATTTCCACTTAGTTTTCTCTATTTGAAGCCTTTTAATGGAGGCTTCTTGAATATTGTTCACTGGAATTTCCGTTGTATTTAGTTAGGGGTTAGTGTTTTATCTATTTTCTGATATAACGCAGAAATTCCACTTATATTAGTTCCTACTTTTTGAAGCCATTACTCTACTTGTATGGTTATTGATGGGACAGTTTAGATACGATATTTAAATTTTTGACTTAGAGCTTAAGGAATGTATGTTCTACATTTACGCAGTGGTTGTCATGTTCATCTGAGTGGGCAGAGGTCACGAGTTTTATGTTCATTGATGCACAACCAGTGAATTCTGAACCAGCTTTCTTTGGGATCATTCTGGTTTCTCTCAAGATCACTTATTGTAACAATTCCAGTGTTCAGTAGGTCGTTTATTGTTGCTTATTATTATTGAATTAAAATGTTGCAAGTGTAAAAGCAAAATGTGTTTTAAACAGAGTTAGGAATCCAATTTAACTAATTATTAAACTATTTTCTTGTTAAAGTTCATTTTGTTGCACGCCTTTCAAGTCAAGGGTCTCAAGATCAATGACCATCGATGTAAATCGAGTGGCGTTCTAATCTATAAGATAAGTGGTAGATTGCGAGATTCTCGTAAGAACAGCTATAGGTACCTTCTTCCTACCCAAGTAAGTTGCTGTGGTTACTTCTAGTGGACTTGAGAGGGGTATTCACTTTTAACACACCAAAAAAACATCAATTTTGACATCCCCTTACACTGATTTGAGTCAACCGTAGTCGTAACACTGTATCCGTAGCTACCTGAAGTTAGTGACAAAGCTGATTCGAATTTTTCCATACGCTTAGATTAGTCCGTTTATTTCCGGTCTTCCTCATCTGTGCGTTTTCGTAAATTTGTTGATTCCTTTCAGCTCATTCCATGTATAACAATTTTTTTTCAAATGTTAAGCGTTTTGATAGTTATCATTAGCCCTTTAATTGACTTCAGTCTTTACAGAGGGGAGGAACATCAAAATGAAAAAAATTTGAGAGGGGGAGGAACAGAAGAGTGTTTCAAAAATGATGTAAGAAATAGACATAAAAGTAGAAAAAATGGTGAGGTGAGTACTGCGGAAGTAGTCGAATATGGCATACAGTGAGGTTATGGTAGTTTGAAGTGAGAAGTCAACTGCCGGTTAATAGACTTTGCCGTATGAGTATACGTTGCCCATGGCGCACCACATTTTGCCGTATGAGTATGCGTTGCCCAGGGTGCACCACGTTTTTGCCGTATGAATATACGTTGCCCAGGGTGCACCACGTGGCCGTATGAGTATACGTTGCCCATGGCGCACCACGTGGAGGTAAGTCTATCCCACACCCCTGTATAAAAAATAATGTCCTATATCATGGGAGAGTGCCGGAGTAGGGTTTGTCTCTCCGATTCAATATAAATCTTAAATGCTTCCCATATTAGTCTTTCTCTTAATTTTATTTCGCTTGAAATTAGCAAATTTGTCAAAGGAAATTACAAGACATTTTGCTATTTAGATACCGAAGTAGTGGCGCTGATCCCAACTACGGTTTCCCCGAAATGCTTCCTCCACATGGGGGCAATACCGGTCCCTTTGTTCCCACCTCCCTCCCTGATTTCCCCTCAACAGTGGACCCCCAAATACGGCTCCAGCGTCAACAGCAGCAAAGGTACAACCAATCACAGGTTGTTCCTGACCCTCCTCCCTATCCTGGTCGAGCCAATCAGCAGCCACAGCCCAATCCCCAAACCAAAGCTACTGCCGGTCCACCCCCGCAGATGATGCAAATGCAAGGTCAGTCTGCAGGTCAACACCGAACTCCAACATATTCCCAGTTCATGCCAAGCAATGAAGCGGCCCCTAGAGGGGTGGTCTCTGGCCCCCCACCCCCTCCTAATTTCTCGCGTCCTCTCTATGACAACTCAGGAAGTGGTGAGTACCATTGACATTGGCGCATTCCGCAGATTTCTTCCACCTTACCTCAGCCATCCCCTTGTATTGTACAAAAGTCCCCTCCCACTAACTCTACGCGCCTGATTGTAATAAAGTACAACTGTATACCTATTACCTGACACCCTTCCTTTCATGTACAGCGCTATATATTTTCTCCTTTTCTCTCTACTTGTGTTTATCATCTCTTTGGTGACCTCATTTCAGCAGAGGGAGGCCAGACAACAAAATGTACTTTTTTCTCTTAGCATGCCGCCCCAAATACTACTGATGATGAATGATATATTTTTCTCTCTATACTTTTCCCTCGAAATACTTCCTACCCCACACACACATACTTTTTCTCGTCTGTTCCCCACCCTATGTGTATGCCTTCCTTCTAAATGGCCAATAAATATCACCCATACTATTGTATACAAATTTAGGGCTTTAGGTTTTCTCTTCTGTGGGGATGCCGGGTATCATGCTGTAGGGTTGTTAAATAGGTCACTCAAACTTGTCACAAATATCTCAGAGGGTGCTCTTAGTCATCAGTTCAACATTGGAGGCATAGTATTTAAGGGGTATTTCTGTCATGTCAGTGGTCGTGAGTCGAACGCGTGTTCCTCTATCAAAGTTTGTCCTTCAGATGAAATGATCTCTTGCACTTCGTTACCTCTGGCAACACAGTTGTTAATGCGTACTTCCGCTGAATCTGAGGTTACGATGTCGATGCACAGTAACGTTCTCTAGCGGTGTGGCCGAACCCATTAGAGGCTGGTGGTTTCTCATTAACACGGCTCCGGGGTTAACTTGTGGAACCACTTCTCATCATCATAAAGTCCAAGGGGTAGAGAGAGTATCCAAATTGTACTGTGGAACGGCAATGGTAACTTGAGAGACAGAGAAAGAACCGTGCCCATGTAATGACCCGGCCCTTGGATTTGTCATGTGAATTTGAAGTCATCGGGAGAGGGACGAGTAAAAATCGATCATTAATCTTCTCAAAGTGTGTCTATTGAACACAGTTCTAATGAGCACTAAGACGAAAGAGCAGATTTTAAGTGAAAAAAACTAATGCATACAAAAATGTTTGGTTAATGTTTTTGCTTACCTTCAGTCTCCCTCCCCCCCCCCACCCTGCTCAAGTGTTGCTGACACTAAATGGCCTTGAAAAGTTGTGCTCAATATATGTGTTCATACCTTCGTTGGAACTATTTTCTAATTTGACAAAATTAGTGGTTCTAAAGAGAGCAATGATTGTTGACGATAATAACTTGTCCAGATGTCTTTAAAATTTTGGTGGTTATTAGAAGTTAGTAACTCATGGTTATGAGAATTGCTTACCAAAGTAGATTCGAAACGTTAAATCTTGCAGTTGACTATCGCTAAGGGACACTGTAGGAGTGAACGATGGGGTATGTCCTAAGGAGGACACGTTTTGATTAGTTAGCATTTAAGTATATTGTGTAAATTATTTATTTGTATAGAATGGTAGGGTTTATATTAGTCATCATTAGCCCTTTAATTGACTTCAGGCTTCACATAGGGAAGGAACATTTATTTATATCAAATGGCAGGCTTTATGATAGTTATCATTAGCCCTTTAGTTGACTTCAGATTTCACAGAGGAAGAGGAACATCAAATCGAAATAAGTCTAG